TCCCTGCCCATGGCAGGGGGGTTGGAACTTGATGACCTTAAGGTCCTTTCCAACCCTAACTATTCTATGATTCTAGTTGTCATGAGGAGTGGTGCCACCTGCTGCTCTGGGGCAGGTAGGTAGGTAGTAGTCCTACATAGTGTCTCGTCATTTATCCGATGAGATTGCAACTTGATGTTTGTACAAATGATCAATGAAAGTAATAGCAAGTAATGAAGTCTCTTAGGAAATGATCCAGAGCGAATTTTGGCACATCACTAAGCAGAAGAGTGAAGCATTACCATTGGCTCATATATGAGTGATGGATGAGAGTGTTAAGTTGAAAAAGACTTTTTTTCTCAGATGGCTAACTTAATGTTGAAGAGTACTGTGCTTTCAAAATATGAGGAAAAGTATTTTAAGATATTTCCAGATAGCAGAACTAATAGTTGAGTTTTGTGTATGCTTGCTCAGATACAGTGGATACACATAGACATATGTTACTTTTAATGTGAATTTCTGGCTGGAAATGCAAATCTTTGTAGGTGCTGGCTGCACATACGAAAAAAAAAAGAAGACCAAATGCAGTCCTATAATAGATTTTTCAAGGACACTTGCATTCCAAAGAGCTCATAAGGAGATGAGCCATCCTGGAAACATTTCACAGAGACAGGAGACCGCTGTCTCTATTGAGGAACATTAAGTAGGTACCAAGAATCATAGTACAGTGATGTTTCTGTAAAGAGACGAGGTAGAAATGTTTCTTACCTGTTATCCATGGACAGGAACATTAGTTTTGCTTTTTCTACTTAAAGTTTACTGTCTGACAGCTGTCCTGATTTCAGCTGGGATAGTGTTAATGTTCTTCCCAGTAGCTGGTGCAGTGTTGTTCAGTAGCCAACCAGTTGTTGCTCAGTAGCACTCACCATGATCAAGGATTCTTTCAGTCTTTCATGCTCTGCCAGTGAGGGGGGCACAAGAAGCCAGGAGGAAGCAGAGACAGGACACCTGACCCAAACTAGCCAAAGGGGTATTCCATACTACAGCATGTCATGCCCAGTACAAAATGGGGGGTGTTGGCCAGGAGCCACCAATTGCTGCTTGGGGATGGGGTGGGTATCAGTCTGCAAGTAGTGGGCAATTGTACTGTCCATAACTTTCCTTTTGGGTGGGGGTGTTACTATTTTCAGTTATTTTTTTTCTGATGGATTACTCTATTTTACTTCTATTTCAACTATTAAAATCAATTATTGGTACGGATAAATAACTTAGAACCTGTTCATTACCAATTTCATTATTCTTAAAGCATGACTGTTGGGTGTGGCAGAAGTAAGAATGGAAGTGTTCTTGTTCTAGTGACACACTGCTAATCTGAGGCATAGTTCAAAATTAAAAACAGCAAAAAGAGGAGTGCCAGGGACAAAAAGTCTTTGTACTACAATAGCACAAAGCGTCTGGGCCATTTTCGTTTAACAAGTGATTGACGATATGGTGGTAGCAGTTTCTAAATGTTTTGGATCTTTCCCGAATAGTAAGAACAGCCAAGGTGACCTTAAGTACATTTTGGAACATAAAGCCATGCAAGATGTGAACACGAAGTGATGATTTAATGATATCTCTGTGAGCTGTAAACTGTGACTGTTGATACTGTAGTTTGACAGCTTTTGGTCTTGGCTGGGAGATAGTGTTCCTGGGAAACAGTGGATTCCAGCTCCAGCAGGCTCTGTTGAAGGCTTGAGTTTATTTTACACAAAGCATGCATGGCAGTACTCACTGGCACAGAGCTTAGTACCGCGTATGTGGAAAAAGCATGATGTGCCTGCACAATATGGAGGGAGGGGGCAGGGAGGGGAAGCGGCATTCCATCATCAAAAAAGCATCAGAATTACCACTGTTCTTTGAGAATGCACTGCGTCAATATACTTAAAGTAGATCAGCATTTAAAAATACCCTGAACCTCCCAGCCAAGCAAATGGAGCTATGGAGTATATTCTGGTGAGGATCAGCTGCTGTTTACCATTAAGAAGTCATATCCTGTCTATGTAAGAAGCATTTTAAAATAGTTACTCTTTTTTGGTATGGTAGAACATAAACAGTTTAATATTGAGCTTTTTAATTGAAGATATTCTTTACTATAAGGGAAAAGATCTAATTCAGGAAGTATAGAAACATTCTAAATAGTGACAGTGATAGTCAGATTTTGACAGTATATTAGGACTATTTGACTTGCCATCTTCCTGCAGAGGACAAGAACTGCCTGAGAATAATACATTTTAATGCTTTTTGATCATCATAAACTCCAGCAGACAGCTGCACATTACTCAAGAAGAGTGCTGCTACATATGGTACTTTCTTGCTACCCTGCCTGTTCATACAGTGTTTGACACCCTCAATGGTTTTCATTTGAGTTTAAGCAAGCAAATGCCTCTAAAAGATTCTTCTTCAGATGAAGCTTCCATAAGTATTAAGCATCAGCTGTTTGCTGAAGTATTTATTTTCTGGACAAGTATTCTCTTAAATATGATGCATCTGGTTTTCTTGATCTGTAACATCCAAATACCATGCTGTCTTATATACCCCTCAATTTTTAGAATAACATACTTTCATTCATTTTGTTTGCCAGATGTGTGTAATTGGGTATCCTAAAACTAAATTATTACTGCTAGTTTCGTGATTTAGTGGTCGTTCCACCCTCCCCCCCCCCCCCCCCCCCCCCCCCCCCCCGGTTTGCTTTGCTCCCACTAAAAGCTTCAAATATTTTCAGTAACTATAGCACAGTGAAACTTTTGCTAGCAAGAACAGTAGCTGTACAAGACCAAGGTGCTGGGAATTAAATGTTATTTATCAGATAAAGCTGATTATTTTGGCTGTGTTGTAAAAAAGCCAACATATGCTTTTAGAAGTTCAGAAACTAAATTCTGCAATCCATATTCATGGAAAGTACTGCTTGCACATTCAAGTCCAGCTAATGTTAATAAAGCGATGTGTAGTTGAGTCCTAAATATGTGGTGTAAAATGTAGAAAATATAGGTAGATTCAAGGTAACCTTTTCTACAGTTCTTCTGTCTTTCAGCTCCTGAATCCCCTTTCAAGAGTTGCTTGAAAAAGCATTTTAGATACCTATCTTAAGGGTATTTAAGTGAGAGAACATAAACTGATAGTGGCAACAGGACAATATGTCGGAGACATAGGGCAGCAATGAAGAGAGCACAAATGTAATAATCTGCTCTCCAGTAGCTGTACAGTACAAACCAGTACATGCTAATAAACACTTTGTGTCTGTAGCTGTACCCTTTGCAGCAGGGCAAACATGGGCTGTGTTGCAGTGTTTGTTTCCCAGGCACTCGCCTAGGGCTAGGTATTTGGATAAAACATGGGGTGTGATGGGCTGACAGGAACCCTGTGCACATGGTAAAAGACGCTGTCGTGTTGCTGGTGAGACTTGTTCTGATTGAGTGGATCACCATGGTGCCCCTTGTCTCCTGGTGTGACAGTGGTGCTTCCATTGGACAGCTGGAGATCAGGGGTGTAGGTTGCACTGAGAATTCCTGCAGTGTGTTCTGCAGTTGAAGGACATGAAAGCTTAGCAAGTGGCTAATAGGAACACTTGAAGCAGAGCTGAGAAAGTTTCAGCTTTTGAGAGCTGTAGGTTTTTGCTACATAAAATTGCACAGATCTTAAAATTGCATACATAAAATTGCATAAAGTTGAATCCCAGTGTGGGAGAAAATAAAAGTATGTAAAATTGTTTGTAACAGTCTGATTGTAAAACTGCCTGATTTCAACTGTTGAGCTGTTAACTACTTCATTATGAAGGGTGGGATTTGCCCTTTGGTATATTCAATAACTGTATACATATATTAATAAATATCCAGTAGTTTCCAAGTTTTGAGTTAGAGATTTTATTTTTTTTATTTTTACAGAAGGTGAATTTTTCAAGTCCTGCCACTAAAACTTTGCAGAAAGTAAAGCTGAAAAGGGGTTTGGGATGTCATCTAGCCTTTACCCCAGTTTTCTCCCCCAAACAATGCAAAAACCAGAACCAGTGTTTTTAAAGCTTTTGGATAATGGAGGGAGTAGGAGGGTATGGGAAGTTGATGAGTCTGTATAAACCTCTGTATGGTTACATTTTCACATCCCCCTTTTTCATTGTTTGTTTCTTGTGTGTGTGTTACTGTCAGATTTAGAGCAGCTGCACTCTCGTTTCTCATACTAAATTCTGCTTTCAGGGTTCTGTTTTGGTCAGCACTTAATAATTGTCTCATTGACGTGATCTGTTGCTTACAACTGCTTAACCTTAGTTGGATAAAGCCCACTGTAGAGCCTAAACCTGTTGTTTTAAAGATGTAGACAGATTTATCTTTTCCAGATGCAGCTGTGCATGGTGAAGGCTGTATAGCTTCTAGCTATTTGTCAATATCATGTATGTCCAGTTTGTCACCAGTTCTGCTTATGAAGCAGTTTGTGAGTGCTCTGAAGTCTTTTCAGCAGTTTTGTTATGTGGCTTCCTCTTAAGCAAGTGCAAGTGATTTTACTTGAACTGAATTAGGAAGAATGAAAGCTTTCAGCATAGCTGCAGGCTTCTGGTAGGACTATTTTTGGCATAGTTGCTTGCAGTGTGAGGTCTGTTTGCTGCTTTCTTGGACAAAAATATTTTGCCATCTTTCTTGAGATTTAGATTTGAAAACAGAGTTTGAAACTGCATTTGTATTAATACAGAGAATTGAGAGCTTGGACAAGGGATAATTTTCGAGTGTTTATGTTACATATAGCAGTAAAAATTACTCCATTGCATATGACTGATAAAGAAAGGAGGACAAAACCATAAACATCACTTAGGTTAGCAAGGAGGGCACACCATCTTTGGATAAAGTATTAAGTAAACAACTTGGTTTTGTAAAGTTAGATTTTTTTAAAATGAGCAATAAAATGGCTATAAAAGACCTGTGTTATATAAGGGGGAAAGTCTTAGATTTTGTGTTTCTATTTACAGTTTGACTAAACTAAGAATCTTTTTTTAGGGCATCCAAGATGGATATCAAATGTGCTCTGGAAGAGTGTTCATTGGCACTGAACTTATTTCTAAACAATAAGTTCTCTGAAGCCCTGGAAATACTTCGGCCATGGTGAGGTCCTGTTATTTGCTGAAGTCTGTAAGCAGATAGTGAAAAGTATGCTGTCTGATAGCTGAAGATTAATTTAAGGCCTCTGAAGATAGTAGTTTTCGTTTATTCAGTTTTGTCCAAAAGCATTTCTTAGTATCTTTAGGTTTTAGCTGTGTGCTAGTTCCTCCTTAAGGCCATCACAAAACCTGTTAATGAAGCACTGAATTGTTCTGTTTATTATATTACATTTGAGTCACAGTAGTGTTTAACCTTAAAGCCGACCTTTTGATCTTTCTGCCTATTTCTCTGTTGCCTTTGCTTATTTGAGAAGAGGAGCATGGTAGTGCAGATGTAGGGAACTAAATAATGCCACGTTGATAGGATAACCTAGCATACTTGTGACTGCATGGTGAGGCAATAGGACTGGAATCTGCATCCTGTTCACTGTTCTCCTGTCTGTCTCTCAAAGATGTGTTTGATGTTGTGATGTGTCAGTGAGAGGGATCTGTAGCTTGTGTTAGTGAAAGAAAGTAAAGAGACATCCTTCTGTGTACTGCCAGATAGTAGAACAAGAGGCAGTTACCATAAGCTGAGGTTTAGGAGGTTCAGATTGGACATTAGGAAAACGTACAGTACCAGAGGGACTGCCAGAGGGCTAGGTAGTCTTCATTTTCTTGACACTTGGTTACACAAAACCTGAGTTCACCTAACATAACATTGGCAGTAGTTCCCGTGCAGCTGGTAGGTTTGAGTATATGACCTCCCATAACCACTTGCCAGTAATTTTTAATTGTGTAATTACATTGTGAAAGCCAGGATGGTTCAGTGTAGCCTTTTATGCAGGACTGAGTGTGTGTATACTGACATTTCTATGACATAAGTGCAGATTTTTGTGTCTTTGGATAAAGTAGTAATGTTAGAAGGATTGTCCTTCTGTAAAGTGAATGCAGAAGAATGATTATGTGTGTCAAGGTTTAATTAACTAAGTTAAATAGATACACCAATGTACTATAAAAGGTATATAACTGCAAATATGTATGTAACCCAGTTTGGATATTCTTTAGAACTTGCTGCAGCAGTATCCTGTGGAGGCAGACATGTAGCACCTAGTGGAGATGGTATTATGTTCTCATATCCATTACATTCATGCTTTATTCTTCTGTCTTTTCACAAATTAATGCAAGTATCTCAGCATTTGATTTTGTATTATAATTTTAAGTTTTGTTTAAATGCACAAGATTTATATGTTTGCCCTAGGTCTAAGGATAGTATGTACCATGCCCTTGGGTACAGCACTATTTTAGTTATGCAAGCTGCTATGACCTTTGAACAGCAGGATATACAAATGGGAATTTCTGCAATGAAGGAAGCTTTGCAAACTTGCCAAAGGTAAGCCCAAGCAATAAACATCTGTGAGGTACTTAATCCACTAATTGTTCCTTATAAGATATCCCAGCTATCAGTACACTCTCAGAGCAGGCTGTTGGTGGTGTGATAATGATCTAAATTTAGAAAGGTGGAGTAGGTCTCACTATCCAGTTATTCGTGGTAAGGATATGTGGAAACCACAGACTTGTTGGGTCAGAGTGCTTATAGCCTCTAAAAGGTAGTTAAGTGGTTTATTGGCTATGTAGACCTACATGTAAGGTGACCCTACATGGTTGAACTGCTTGATCTCTATCTGCTTGTGACTGAGTTTGTCATGGGTGAGTTACCAGTTGGGCTTAAACCACAACAGTTGAACAATTCAAACTCTCTGGATTTTGAATTTTCCCTTTCATCCTTTTTTTTTTTTCTTCTTCTTTTAAAGTTGTTCTCAAAGGTAGACCAAATAGTCTAATAGGATTAAGCTCGTGTTGAGGTTTCTTTTAAAACCAAAGCAATTTTTTCATTAACGCTACAGATATGTTCAGTTTACTTGAAAATTAAAAGGCTGTTATTGCCATCAAGAATGATCTGAACTTTTTGCTTCTGAAACAACAAATGAAATAGACTAGAAAATAGAAGTTGTTTTTAAGAACTTTTTTTTTTCCTTTTAAAAAATAAACAACTTAGGAAGTGCATTGTCAACACTGAAGTGCTTAACAAACCTCTGACAAAATCATAATTGAGTGTTTTATTCTACTATACTGGTTCATCATCATTCTCATTAGGCCATAACTTGTCATGAATAGTCTCCAAAGTAATTAACTCCAAATGTTGTTAGTTTTGACATTTAGTATCACTTCATTAGCAATGACAAATAAAAGAAAAGGAGATGGGACAAAATTATCAGATACTGCCTGAAGAAAAAAAGGGTCAGCAGTTTCTGCCCCTTTTTCAGGTGTGCCATCTGAACTGTATTGTTTAGTATGTCTGAAAATTAGATCCCTCTTTCGTACTTCAGATGGTTTCAATAAGGGCCTCCATCTCTGCAGGATACAAATTTCTATGCTCTGGCCTAGTCTGTCACAAAAGTCTGGTATAAAAATGCGAGATAAAGGTTATCACTCACAGGGGACGAATTGCCAGAACTACATGTGCCTTAATAGACTATTAGTAGAATAGTGTAAACAAATGGTAAGTTAATGCTCAGTATTTATAATGAATGACTTCCTGGTTTACACAGTGCATTCCTTTTCTGAATGAAGAATAGTTTCTTTAGCTTCTTCATAAGGCTGGATCATTTGTGTAAACAGTAATGAATTCATTTTTGGAATGCCTTACTAAAATAAACTAGCAATTTATAACATGGACAGTTGAGATCTGTTGAAAGTAAAATATGTTTTGGTGTCATAACAGGCATAAAATATAGAAGTATCTATGTTTTTATTATGCTGAAAACAGCTTCTTTTCATTTTTCATTCTAACGGCAAATATAAGAAATGGAAAAAAAGTGATTCATAACCCTGACTATTCTATGATTCTGTAAGACTTTGAAGTCCAGTTCACAAGTGGCTTGCCCAGAGTCAGAGAGACCTCTGCAGCTTGTTGGTGGAAGTGAGATGGAAGCTGTTGTACACTTAAAATAAATGCATGCTTGGAATGTAAATAAAGGTTTGATAGGCTTCTGAGCAGAGACCAATACAAGTGGCTGTGATTAGACTGCTCAAAGAATTGCAACTATTGGCAAATCTTCACTTTATTAAGAATGGCTACAAATTCGGGTAGGAAATAGTTAAGAATTATAAATAACTGAGTTCAAGTTTGTGTTGAAATGTCACTCATGCTGTGTGGGTTTCTTTTGTGTACAACTGATTTAGATTCAGGAAAAGAAGCACTGTGGTGGAATCCTTGTCCAGTCTAGTTTCTAAACAGTCAGTAGATCAGTTGAGTGAAGGTAAGTGGTTTATAATACAATTAAAATAACAAAGTGAAAAAGCTCAAAAGCACCCCGCCAATGTGTATGAATATTCTCAACTCTGTAACCTGAGTAGTGTCTTACAGTAAAAAAAAAAAAAAAAAGCAAAGCAATGACCTTTATGGTATTGTTTGGTTGGTTGGTTGTTTTTTTCATTTGAATGAAAAGCTTCTCAAAATGGGGGATTCAGCCAAATTTTCTTTTGGCTTTGAGCATGCATGAATTAAGGAATGCCTGTCTCAACCCATTGTAGGACTGAAGAGAAATTTTCATTTTTCCTTAAGAGAGTTCCCAGAAGTTTAAGAATCATTGATGCTGTGGAGTATGTCCTTATCTTTGTTGCATCGGAACCTGACTACGTTAACAAGTTTTGTACTTGTCTGTTTTGCATTAAGGTGTTTTGGGAAATGTTATCAGTACATTGTTCATGGCTCTGAAAATGCTGATCTCCTATTTCTGATTCAGGCAGAATCAAGTATGTTTTTTTTTTTTTCCTAACCTGGCACAAAAGAATCCTTTTTAATTCTGAACACATCAAATTCACCACATGTGCACTGTACATACAGCAGCCTTGTGCATGTGGGCTGGTCTTGCAGCATGGGTGCAGAGTAATTCATGTCACGTGTGTTAAGTCAAGTGTACTTTCGTGCTGCATGGGGACAGAAAGTCTGCCCAGGGCTTTCAGTCTGTTGAGCATAAGTTGGTGAAAACCTGTTAATAATGTGTTACTGGACTGAGGAAAAGCCTGAGCCAAAGTGAGTGTTACCATTCATCTGTAAAAGTTTTTTCCAAGTCATGGAAGGAGGTTTGGAAGACCTAGTTACTGGAGGCTGATATTGAAGCTTGGGTTCAATGGAAATTAAGGGAAATCATCCACCAGAATGACAAGCAGCTTTTGCCCTAGGCTGAGTTGTGCTCTGGCAAGATCAAAGGTTTTGTCTTAAAAGTGAAATAGAGGACTGCTATTGGGAAAATTTGAGTGTTAACAGCTATTATTCAGCAGTTATCAGAGCAGGAGCCGAATCTTATTTGCATTTTGTTTGTTCCATTGACCCCAGAAAGAGAATATTGACATAACTTTGCTGACAGTAAATAACTTTTCTTTCTTACATAGAGGAAATGCATGCTGAAATCTGCTATGCTGAATGTTTACTCCAAAAAGCAGGTCTCATCTTTGTGCAGGTAAAATAGATTGTTTATTTTGTATCTCTATGTGGCAGTTTAATGGGAAGATCTTAGTAATTGTAAAATATCGTTCCCGCAATAGGTACAGTGTTTAAAAACAAGCCCTTTCCTAGGGAATTAAGGTTACTTCATGGCATTGATTGAAAGTATGGTAAATGCTGTGATATCGGGCAGAATCCTCTCTTTGTTTATGTGAAAAACCAAAGATGTTATTGATGCCCAGGAACCAAAAACTTAAGGTTTATTGCAGTCATATACAGGTGGTATGTTTAAATGACTTGTGTCCCATCTGACAGTATCCAGCACGTGTTTAAAAAGATGTTTAAAAACATCTTCTTTGAAAGTGACAGTCTTTTATTTTTAATGTGAAAAAGATAGAATGTTTCCCAACTAACAAAACTTCAGCTGGTGCACACTCATCTCCAATTCATTCTCCATGTGCTTTTAACATAGTGTCAGGAACAATATAGTAATGAATGATTATAAAATGAGCATACATTAACACTGCTGCGGTAATAATTCAGTTGACAGAAAGATCTGCTGGTTAATGCTGTCTGGTGCTTCTTGTTTAGCTTGTCGTTCAGGGACTTCATGCTGCAGTGTTTTCAAATTTGATTTGCAACTTGATTCCTGAAAACAATTTTTGGTCAGATTTTTTTTTCATATGTGACTGTTTTACAAATGTTTAACATATTTTAGATAAACTTTTCAGATAAAAATTATGAGGAAAAAGTGGGGCACAAAGATACTAAGATCAGGTACTTAGAAGTTATTTTGTCAAAGCATCATAAACGACTTAATACAAGACTTTGGCCTTTTGTCAGGAAATATTACTAATGTAATGCCAGTCTTCCTTATAATTCACTTTCTCCTTTACTAATCAAATGGAAGAAACCCTCTTTTTATGGGTGATTTTCTATTTTATTTTTTTTTAAACAGCTGTTGAAGGAGGCAAGCTTAGGACTGTCTAAAATGGGAAAAAACCCACCTTAGGGGTATGCTCTAAAGCAACACCTCACTATCCATCACGTCATTGATCTACTGCTGTTGACTGTAATAACCCTGCTCTGCTGATTGCTCTCATGCGCCTTAATTCTCATCCTTAATTCATTGGCTGACCTTGATTCATCTGAGGATGATGACGATAATGAAAATTTAACCATTTGAAAGAAACGGCAATAACGCTTGCAGTAAAACTCTTGTCTTTCAGACAAAACAGTTGAGGTCATTTGAAATGGTGACCCTTTCATGGAAGCCAGAAATTCCTTTGGTTGATGGTTTTGAAGGTGTTTCCTTTTTTTCATTTTCCATACCATATATTCTGTCCCTGCCTATATAAGTGTGCATTTCTGAAATGCCTGCACATGTTCCTCGTCTGTGTGAATTCAAAGAGAAAAAACTTCTGCCATGTTGAACTGTTAACCACCTTGCTTTTCAGGAGTTTATTTTTCATGACTAAGTACATTGTGACTTTACTTTGATTTTTGTAGTGGTAAGCTAGTAAGCTAGGTGAGCTAGTAAGCACATATGCTGGATAATGCATTAATAGGAAATTACTGTAGATCAGCAATGAGAATTCATCTATTCAGGGATTCATTTGTCTGCTGCCAGCTTGTGGGCTTGCTTGTATGTGAGAATCAGTATTTCAAAACTTTCTAAAAGGTTCCTACAGCACCATCTGGTAGAGACCTTTCTTGTTTCATGTAAATGCATTTGAAATTCTGTTAAAAGTAATTGACTTTTTTTTTCACGCCCCTCTTAAGTTTTAGGATTTGTAACATGCATTAGAGAGATGTTTCCCTGACAACTTAAATCAAGTATTAATGTCAGTGTCATGAGTCTACTAACTGAAAAACACTCTTAATATTTCTAATGTTAAGTTATAATTAAATTTAAATGTAGCTGGAAGATATTTGTGTATGTGTTATATATAATGGCTCAATGCACATTCTTGTTCAATTAAATATTTTTCTTCCAGGATGAAAATATGATCAACTTTATCAAAGGCGGCCTCAAAATTAGGACAAGTTACCAAATATACAAGTAAGCCATTAGAAAACACTTTCAATGTTGTTATAATCAGTTGCAATTGTACTTAGTGCCTCCAAAATTATTAAAAAAAAATATTTACAGTAGTCATAATGATTATACTTCATATAATTTTAAGTCATATTTCCTCTTCCCTCCTTTTTTGTTTCTGTATCAAAAGGGAATGTCACCAGGTGCTACAGATGACTCAGGGGAGCAAGAGCAAAAATGAAACTTATTACCAGTTTGAAGGAGGAGTAAAACTTGGAATTGGAGCATTCAATTTGGTATGACTTTTTGAGACTACAGAAAGGCTATTAGGATAATTCTGTAGGATTCTTTTTTTGCAGATGCGGTACTGCAAGGCTGTTTTAAGAATTACATATTTGTAAAATGAAGATACAGACTCTGAAAGTTTTATGCAATACAAGAACAGCAGTGGCTGTTTGCATTCATGCCTTCTAATTTATCCTGAATTGTGTTTAGTTCTCTGGGACTAATTTATATATGTATTTTTTTAAGAGGAAAAGCAGCTACATCTGCCTGTGTGGAGCAGGAATTTTTAAGATGCTTATGCTGTTGGTTATGGGAAATCGGGAGTGACTGCTTTTATTCTAAAATCTCCATGTATACCATTCTTTTGCTTTGGTGGCACACTGTAGGTTGACATAGACAATTAAAAATTCAGAAGAATGAGCGGTAGTTTACTGAATTAGTACAAAAGAGCTGGGTACATAAAATAGTGTTTTTCTTTACAGTTTACTACAGTTGCCTTTTCACATCTGTCCTGGCAATGGTGAGAGTTGATTTCTGCTGGTATGTTAATTTCTGTATCATTCCAGACTAGAGCTGGCCAGTTTTGAGTACAGTCAGAACAACTTAGGTCTGTCTGTACCTGTCAGCCTTTAAATCCCAAGCAGCTGGTAGGTATCTGTGTTCATAAGTGCTCAGACCTTTCCTGTTCTTCCTGAAGCCTCCTCAGGAGGAAGCTTAATAGAAAAATTCTCAGCTCAGCAGAAGGTATTAGGGTGAATGAATCTTTTAAAAACTGACTTTCAAGTACTTGTACTGCTTGTTGAAAAGGTGGTTGTGAGCTTCTTGAGTTTTCTCTTATGTAACGTGGGAAATGCAGTTACAAGGGCAACAAAAAGTACATGTATTAGAGGGCTGAAGGACAGTAACACAGCTAGTATTTCTACAAGTTGCTTGCTGGTCTGCTAATTCAGTGCTCCCACAGTAGGAACAAGTAGAACTTCTGTCGTACCACTGCCTCAGTTGACTGGGAGTAAAGGAAGATTGCAGTTGCAGATTGTAAGTACTACCGAAATAGGTAGTACTTTCATTCCAAATGACCCACAATTTTCAAACAATTCTGATCAGCTGAAGTCAGAAAAATCTGTCATGATCTGAAGCTGGACTCTGTCTTCCTGTTTACATGCTGGTGATCATCAGAAGTCCGAGTTTCCCTGAAGCTGCAAACTGACTATATGTTGTTGATCATGCATGTCTGTTTTTGAGGTTTTTTTCTGTTTTCCTTTATCACTAATGAAAACTGGTGTTTAAAACATAGTAGCAAGCATTTGTGGCTCAAGTTTATACTGGTTTTGCCTTTTTTTTTTTTTTTTAAGTATTTAGGTTTTTTTTTTTTAATCTTATTTTTGTTTGAAATGTATTTCAGATGCTGTCACTCCTACCAGGAAGGATCCTTCGACTTTTAGAATTTATTGGATTTTCTGGCAATAGGGTATTGGATCTGATATGTATTTTGTGTGTGTTTGTTTTTCAAATTAGTCTTTTCTCGGATAAAGACTTGATGGATTTAATGTCATATAATTCACACTAGAAGTATAAAAATATTATTTATCAGTATTTTAGTGTCATTAAAAAGATGAGAATTGGGCTAGGTGGTGCAGACGTAAAAGCACATATGGTGATACCCTGGTCTTGAAGAACCATGGGAAATGACCCATCTGCTTCAGAGCAGGATTTCAAATTGCAATTTCCTTTCCTTTTGCTGATCCTTAAGGAGAGGATATAAGCTTTCTTTTTGAGCCTATGCAGTTAAAAATTAATGTTCCTCATACCAGTAACTGAGGTGAGTGAGAGTCACGGTTCTACATTTTTCCACCCATGATCCCAGCCCGTTTTTTTAGGAGAATAAATTTGTGGATATCATGTGTCACTGTGGAACATCAGTACATCTTTTTCTTATGGATGATGAAAAGGATTTGTAACTATTTATTTATTTGTAATTATTGTTTGTAATCATAGCCTTGTTTTTGTAAACCTAGCCTTGTATCTGAAGTATCTTATAAGCCCTTTAAAATTCTTTTTGGTACCTATAAGAAATAAAAAATAATTAAGACCAAACCAAAAACCAACTCCAACAAAACAGAAACGCCAAAAAAGCAGATTAAATAAAGCAACTCACAGAATTATACATAACTAAACTTTGAGTTGCTAATGAGACAAAGAATCACCATATGGTCTTAATGCTGCTAATCACAAATACGATTCTGCTTATGTAAAATTAGACTCCAGCAGAGGCCAGTTCGTTCCTTTTCTTCCTGTGAAAGACCTGGTTCATGCTGAAACTCTTCCATTATACACATTTTTGTCCTGACTGAAAAAGAAATAAAAGCTAAAAGGAAAAAGAACAAACAATTTTGGAATATCAGAACATTTTTTCTATTGTGCTTGAATTCTCATATAACTCAAGTTGCCGTGCAATAAAACTGTGTTATTGTTTGTTTTGAGGCAAAACTGTCAAAATCCAATATGTTTCTGAAGAGCTACTGCTCTTAAGCAGGGAAGCTTTGAGCTCGTCTCAGCAATTCCCCCAAGCAGTCAAGCCATTGTGGAATGGGCATAAACTGGAAAGGATGGGAAGAAGTTTCATGTGTGAAGAGCTGAATAAGTCTTCATGAATCTAGATTTCTTTTCTCAGCACACTCAAATTCCATTGTAGCTTCTGAAAACAAGATCTGGAAGTTAGTGTGTCAGCAGAGCTCGTATTTTGATCAGAACCTCAAAACAGTGCCTCACTTGGTGGAAGAGAATTGAGGATAACCAGGGATTTCTGTAAAGGAAGACGTTTGCCAGCAATTAGCACTAGAACAGTTGAGAGAGGTTCTCACCAAACGCAGATTTAAAGACCTCATTCTGAAGAGTCATAGCCAGAAAATCGTGGGGAAGTGATGTAGACCTGTGTGTCTGCATTGTCTGTGTGGTGTTCTCATTTCACCAAAGCACTGAAATGCATGGGTAATTTTATTCAGTGTTGGCTTAATCTTCTCCTTGCGGAGTACTGTCAGCTTTGGCAGAATGTTTTGGGTAGAAGGTTGTGGTGGACCTGAGATTAACAGAGTGCTGAATTTTGAAATATTTATATCTGAAAGGAAAACTGGAATTTGGGGAGCCAGAAGTTATTAATAGTACTCTGTATACTGATAGTTAATTCTGCATGTGTTTGTGATGTTTCTTAGGAGTTGGGCCTCAGCCAGCTACGGGAAGGCGCATCTGGCAGCAGTTTGAGGGCCATTCTGTGTACTTTCACCCTGTTGGTTTATCATACTTACATCTCCTTAATCCTTGGTGAGACCCACTGTGTAGCTGTTCAGTCATGCTACACCATATGATAGATATTGTGATTTTTTTAATTGAATTTTGAAACTGTGGCCTATTAGCTTTGTAAAAGGAGATAGCTGTATTATCTCTGACAAAGCTACATCTGCTGAAACAGTGAGGGTAGATACTGTTATACCAACTTCTTGTTCCATTTGCAAGGCTGTCTTAACATGCAACAGCAAAATATCACAACACCTTTAAGTTCAGACAAGTCATCATCTGTAAATGAATGTCCAATATTATGAAAATTATCTCCAGAAAGAAGTCTGTACTCCCAAACTATTTACCTGAAAGTTCAAACATGTAGAAAATCAATTACTTTTGTCACATGTGTCTAGAAGTCACCATTAATTCTGTATGCATCTTTGTTATTTATTTTAATGTTCTTTAGTTTGGAAGCTTTTTAGTCCTTCTCCCTCAGGCTCATCAGGAAATTAAGGAGAACTTCATTTCTTTCAGTGTCACCTGTACTTCATTAGTGAGCTCAAAATTAGGAAAGGAGGCAGCTGAGAAATGTTTTCCGATCTTGCTAAAACAGTTATAGGGATTTAAAAATATAACTAGGTTCTATAATGGAACACTTTAAAGAATATTCATATACTGCATTCTGTTTCTACTTGCAGACATTTCCTATCTTAAAAGCACTTGTACCTTCAAAACAAGAATTCATTTTTATAAAAAAACCAAAATCTGATGAAATAATTTTGCTTTTGCATAAAACCAGTCATCCGTTAATCTATGGAAGCCATAATATGATTTGAAAACCAAAATCGTAATGTATGAAACTGATTTTTTTTAAGTATATTGAGGTTGATTTGTTATGTTTTCTAGGTACAGGGGAAGCCAACTTTCAGGAAGCAGATAGTCTCCTTGAACCCTACCTCCAGAAATTTCCAAATGTGTGTATTCTCAATGAATTTGTACTTCCTCAACAAAAATGTACTTCCCTAAGCTTAAAATAATAACTGGGTATTTTTCTCATCTCTTTTCAAGGGTTCCATTATTCTATTTTATGCTGCCAGAATAGATACACTGAAAGGAAATTTGGAGAAGGTAAATCACTTTTCTCTCAAAAGGTTTTTATCTGTGTGGTGTTCAACTGTGGGGAAGAAATACCTATTTCATCTAAGAAACTTATCTTAGTTGTACTAATAATTGTGCTCTTATCCCTGTTCATGTTCAGTATTAATAGTGATTCTAGCTCTCTATCTGTAAGTGAGACTGAAAGGGAAGTTGATCATTTTGCTAGTCAGGTGTTCTCCACTTGGGTGCTAGGTAAGAATTTGCTTTGTAATTAGATACTGCTCTTACATGGAGCTATAACTGAGCCAGTTTTCATAATTCTTGCATAACTACGTCGTAGGCGCAGTTGAGGTTCCAAGAGTGCATAACAGCCCAGGAACAGTGGAAACAGATTCATCATCTCTGTTACTGGGAACTGATGTGGTGCTACACCTTCCAGCAGAACTGGCTTCAAGCATATCGGTATGCAGACCTGCTCAGCAAAGAGAGCAGGTGGTCTAAGGTAAATGGGCAGGTGGATGTATTATGATATACTGGTCTCCTCTCCACAGCTAAATTTCCTTTTCAGTTCACACAATAAATGTAACTTCGCTTTCTTCTGAAACCAGTGAGCAAAGGCACATCAGCGCCAAAATGGTAGGTCTAACTGTATGGTTAAGGAGGAATTTTTATTACATATTCTGAAGCATCAGAGCCATAACTAACAATGCTTCAGCCCTCCTAAAAACAGAGGAGCTCATCAGAGTTAGGAGAAAGAAGAGGGAGAGGAAAACTGTGAACTTGTATCTCAAGTCCTAATGCTAATAAAACTTTGCTGAAGAAACTGTGTTTGTTAGTTAATTATAAACAGATGAAAGCACACCTACTCAACAGATACCTTTCATGTGACATGAAACGACAAGGCTGCTGGAGACGGTGTCTCATGGGGAAAAGTTGGGGTATCTAACTCTTCCTTGTAAAAATGTTTCTCAAAGGATAAACCAAACACAATTGCAAATAATTTTTTATACATAATTTTTGTATGTTCCTTTTTTAGATTACTGGTTTATTATGCATAGTGGAAAAGGGGATACATCCGATTCTTGACAAAACAAGAAGAGAAGAGTATATTCAATGTCTTGAGTAGAATTATTGATGTTCCTTTTTTTTCTCTGCAAGGTCCAGTTACTGAGCTTACCTCAAATCAGTACTCAGGATATTTTCAGCTGTTTTCTCAGGCATGTCTTTACACATAACAGATCATGTAACTTTGGAATAGTTATGTCATTTAACCTCATCTCTTTGTCAGTGATATGTTTAATAAATTGTCCTGTTCTTTGCAGGGAACGCCTTTAGCATTCTGACTTACTTTGAATATTTCTAAATATTTTGGGGAGGGGGGTAAATAAGCATAAATTAAAAGAGAAAGAAAATGCTAAACTGCTGTAGTTCCACCTGCCTGAAAATTACTGGAAACACTTCACTGCAGCACGTGGGGTGAGAGATTTGAGTCCTTAATTTGTGTATTGAGTCCAAAGTTTGAGTCCAATTTGTGTATTGATTGAACACAGCAAATGAGAAGTGGTGATATGTTGCTATTTCTTTTCAAAAATAGGCGATATATGTGTTCCAGAAGGCAGCGATTCTGTGTATGCTGCCAGAGGATGATTTGAAAAGGACTGGTGAGGACGTTGTATCTTTATTCAGGTAAACATTTCTCAATCAACTAGATGTGCAGTTTTTCCCTCTGTATAGTAGTTTTTGACTTGAGTATCTTTGTCTTGTGTGACTTACTTTATTCTTATAACCATCAACTTTCCATTTTTCTCTTTGATTTGAGCACCAAAATACTTAAAATTCTGTTTTTACCAGCAAGCAACTGCAGTTTAAGTGGTGTGAAACAATTTAGTATGTTGTACTAAAGTGGTAAATTTAGTATGTTATACTTAGTGGTGTGAAACAGTTTAGTATGTTATACGTTAGCAAATCTTAGTAAGTGAAATAAGATGGAACAAAAATTATGTAAAGCAACTTCTGTTTTCCATTTTACCTTCTTGTAGACAAGTGGAGGGTCTAAAACAGAGAATTTCAGGAAAATCTATCCCAACTGAGAAGTTTGCAGTAAGAAAAGCTCGACGCTATGCAAGTTCTCAACCAGTGAAGCTGATACTGCCTGCCTTGGTATTTATTCTTGCTTTCTTTTTGTCGTTTTCAAACAGAAAAGAAATAAGTGTAATTCCTTATACAGGGAAAGAATAATATTATCAGGTACTGTGTGCTTGCATTTTCTTTATTACTGTTCTTAAGAACTGCTGTAGATGTACAATGGGTTTTTAGTGAAATGTACTAGGGGCTGGATCATACTATGAACTGCTAGCAATCCAAAAACCAGAGCCAGATTTTTCACGTGAAAGTTCAAACATACAGAGAGTGATTGCTGTTGCCACATGAGGCTGAAAGCTACCTTTAAGCTAAAAACCTGTGCAGGCTATGTGTTCATCTTCAGTAGAATCATAGAATGGTCAGGGTTGGAAAGGAGTGTGAGACCATCCACTTCTACCCCACCTGTGATGGACAGGGATACCTTTCACTGTACTAGGTTGCTCAAAGCACCTGCCAACCTGGCCTTGAACACTTCCAGGGATGGTGCATTTACAACTTTCATGAGCAAACTCTTCCAGTGTCTCATTACTTTTACAGTAAAGAACTTCTTCCCTATGTTTAACATAAATCTCTGTTTAAGTTTTAACCCATTACCCCTTATGCTATCACTACAGTCCCTAATGAAGAGTCCCTCTCCAGCGTCCTTGTAAGCCCACTTCAGATACTGGAAGGCTGCTATGAGGTCTCCACGCAGCCTTCTCTTCTCCAGGCTGAACAGCCCCAACTTCCTCAGCCTGTCTTCATATGAGAGGCGCTCCAGACTCCTGATCGTCCTCGTGGCCCTCCTCTGGACTTGTTCCAACAGTTCCATGTCCTTTTTATGTTGAGGACACCAGAACTGCACACAATACTGCAAGTGAGGTCTCAGAAGAGCAGAGTAGAGGGGCAGGATCACCTCCTTCAACCTGCTGGTCACGCTCCTTTTGATGCAGCCCAGGATACTGTTGGCTTTCTGGGCTGCGAGCGCACGCTGAAGCCAGCTCATGTTGAGTATGTCATCAACCACCACACCCAAGTCCCTCTCCTCAGGGCTGCTCTCAATCCATCCTCCACCCAGCCAGTGGTTGTGCTTGGGATTGCCTTGACCCAGATACAGGTTGGTGTGCTTGGCCTTGTGGAACTTCATGAGGTTGGCACTGGCCCATCCCTCAGGCGTGTCAAGGTCCTTCTGGATGACATCCCATATGTCCAGCACGTTGACTGCACCACACCTGCCCCTTTAGTTTGGCAGAATTTCAGTCATTGTCTTTCAAACTCATTAGAAAGATGAGGAGTGCTTGAGCACTTTCTGTTCTTCTGATCAAAATGGAGTGGTGGTGGTTTGTGTATTCTCTCATTCTTTTTATGTGTTACACTGTGATAATATTTAATGCCCTGAAGTAAACATATTTCTTACTATTGTACTGAAGCACTTGTACCAGGATTTGTTGAGACTTCTTTAAAAGAAAAAAATTTTTATAAGTTATATTGTAAATGTGTGCTAGATGTACTGGAACCAGGTTTTTATTTGGAAAGTTTTATCTATTTCCAGTGTTGTTCCAAATGGAAAGTAACAGCCTATGGGTTATAACATCTGTATATGAACAGATGCACAAGTGTGTCTTTGGGTGTTGGGTATATACAGTTTATATGTATGGACAGGCAAGGTTCAAAATGGCAGGTAACAAGGTGCATGGGAAGCTGCAGATCCAACCTTGCATGCGGGCGGACCAGGGCATTGGTCGCTCCTTGCCCCAGGAGATGACAGTCCTGGTCAGACACTTCCTGATTGCCTAAGCACCCTTTTTTCCAGCCATATTTGCATATCCTACATGCCTTTGGTCATCATGCTTGTAGTAAGCCTGGGTAAAGCCCTTCCCACATCTTCGCTCGTGAAGCCAAGCCATCAATCAATATATATATATGTGTATGTATATACATGCACATATATATGTATACTGTATATACCTGCACACATCCACAAATATACACACACATAATATCTATAATCTCGTAGAAGATAATTATTTTCAGCTGCCTCGTTAGTTCATGAGGCAGAGGCCACAAATTGAGCCTAGGATACCCAAATTTGCTGATGTGTGATGTAGGTGATGGCAAACTATCACATGATAAAATCTGTTCAGTTTCATGTTTAAAAATATATGAAAATACGTGATAGAATCCATTAGAAAGGTGTTAAAGCATTCAAAGCTTGGAAACCCAGGTTAACTTTGCCCATGCACATTGACTATCATTTTGCTTCCCCTATCCATAGGTATTCTTATGCAGCTTTAATTAAATGATTATTAAAGCAAATGTGATTGTCATTGCATGTAACTGACGGAATGTCCTGTACTCATTGTGGGTGGTTGTTTGACCTCACAGATACTTATATTCATGGGCTTCTTAACAGTGAACAGGGAATATTTTGGCTTTGAAACCTTTAATTTTGTTTATACCAAGTTTTTGTAGGCAGTGTTTGTATGTACTCAAAATATTTCACAGCAGCCTTCCAAGGGATACTTTATAGTTAAATATTTATTATAATTAAATATTTATGCCATTCCATGGCTTTTTCTTTTTTTTTTTTTCCTCAGGAGATGATGTATGTCTGGAATGGCTTTGCAATTGTGGGCAAAAGGGGAGACCTCACTGAAAACTTACTGGTAACAATTGAAAAAGAGGAAGCTGCACTAGAAAATGAAACTAGTAAGTGATCAGTTAAGGTGGAATTAATAAACTGGTAAGAAATGTTGATGTTTTTCTTTGCTTCTATGTACTAATGTTCTGTGATGCCAGTGTTGACTTAGGCAATGTGCTGTAAAGTCTGAGTATGGAAATTCTGGAGCCACATGAAAGTTAGTGGTAATTCTTCAATATGTTCTTAATCTTGGCTTGATTGATGCTACAGAAGAATACAGAAGACTTGAGGATGTGAGGTCATTAGTTACAGAACTTAACTGATTCTTAATAAGACATTTCAGTCTTTGAAGCATTCTTGGAGTATAATCTACTGACTTTTTACATGTCTGAAATTTTTTTTTTTTAAACCAATTTACACCATGCTTTATTACAGAGGACACATACTGAGCAGAATATGATTAAGTATAAAAGAAGTAATGAAGTACTGTGCGTAAGTCTGTGATTTGTTGTTTGGCTTTGTTGTGTTTTTTTTTGTACTCTCTGGCAAAATAAAACATACCCACTAATTGTAAAATACAGCATTTTTAACAAATTTTAATCATGGTTTTAGATCTTGATGTATTTAAAGCATAAATGTTCAGGGTAATGTTTAAAGAAACAGTTCCATAATTTATTCCGAGAGAAACTTCAGTTTCTCTACTAGAACAGGTTTGCTGCAGAAATACCTGGCTTTGTCAGATGGGTGCTGTCATCTGTCATGTGAATGTCTCCGTAGACTTCAGAGTTCTAGAATGACCAAATAGTATCTTTTTTGTATATAAAACTTTTTTTAATGATAATTCACTAAAAATTATTTCTATTGAACCCAGATTTTAATCACAGCTGTCAACAATTCAGCAGCAGTTAGTTTTGCCATGATTAAAACATTAATAATGAAATGTAAAAATACATCTAATTGTTTCTTACATGTAAACTGAGGTGATTCATCGGAAGTTATACAAGGACATATAAGAAATGCACAGCGGTAAAATCTGGAAGGTATAATAAACTACATGGAGTAGCAGCTTACAAGGCCAACACTGAATAGGGTCTATTTTTTTATGCTATTCTTCAAGTTTCTGCAGAATCAGTAGTGTGCCTCTTAAATCACAAGTTTTTTTTCTTTTTTTTTTTTTGTCATAATAAAGCCAAAATGTTTGCTTCTGTCTACTAATGTACTGTAATGCAAGTGATACGCAAGACATCTGCAAATGAAGTGGTGTTCCCATACATTCCTTGTGGAGGCTTCTGGCAGAAGCCATTGGGAATCTGGTGCAGAGTCATGCAGAGGCTTATACTAGAAGTGTTAATGAGTTGTATCAGTGAAGTAAATTTCCTGTCAAATCCTTAAGCAGAGGTGCACAAGGTACCAAAATAAATGGAGCAGAAATAAAACCAGTATGTTTTTTTCTTAAGGAAATATGCATGTCGCAAATAGGATGTAATCTGGAAGCATATTTGAGGGGGGGTTTATGCTTTCTCTATCTTTTTTAGTAATAACTGCAGTTGAATGTGGTTTTGTTCTGGACCTTGCACCTGTGAACCTGATTTGCTTTTAAAGCTATGGACTCAGACAAGATAGAGTCCCATTACCAGAATTGCTGCTGAATTGGGACCAAAAAAAAAGTGATTAAAGCTACTAGCAGGATGTGGCAATGATACAGTATTATTTTAAGATACAGCCACTATCAGTACTAGGTAGCATTAAAGGACTGCTAAGGTGCACTGAAAAAGTGTGCTAATTATACACAAAGGTCATTTAGGGATTGAGACTTCATTTGCTTCAAGTGAATGGTCACAGCAAGGAGTCTATCATGAATATATATTGGTTTTAATGTATAGAGTTGAAAACAGAAATGGTAGCAGGAACAGATGAAAGAAATAGAATTTTTTTTTTCCTCAGGATTTCTGGAAATCTTATTTTTCCACAGTTGTGTCATCTCCAAGATGCAAAAAAGGAATTTGTTACTTCAAGAAAAAGTAATTTCTTGTGTGTTTTGAAATCCTGATAACAATATTTTCTCTGGTATAGAGGACTGCAGGAACATGGTTCTCCCACATTTATTGGAAGGTTGTCTATATTAAATAGGCCTGTACATTTACTGTCATTTATTGTCAGTGTTTCTCCATAGTAGCTTTTCTTCCTGTGGGAAATACCAGGGAGATAACTAGCTAAAATTATTGTAGACTGGCAAGCTTTTACTGACATCAGTGCTTGCCCCAGTAATTTCAATGAATGAGTCCTTTAGGAGACAGTTGCATGGATCCAGTACCTTAGCCTAGCAAAACAGGCTAGAGTGAATGCAAGATACCCGCTGCGCTTCTACCTGTCACAAAAAGTCTGTCAATTACTATCATAGAGACTTTCTGGTTTTAAACACAGACAGAAGTAAGCCTGAATGTAATGGCAAAGCAGTTTGCTGAACCGTAAGATGCTTTAGGCTTTCACATTTTTAGAACTGTTTGTACAGGATTTTTTTTAGCAGACTATTAAGAAAAAAATTAACATGACCTTAGAGAGCTGGTAATTAGTTGTAAACAACATGATCTGAAGGGAGAGTGTTTTGCTTCCTGAATTGTTAATGTATGTGCTGCCATCTGTCTATCCATATGTGTTTTCTTTCCTTCCTTTTCCTTCCCTGCACCCAGCAAATGCTATAAACCAAGGAAGCAAAAAAGGACAACACTCGTTAAGGTTGTATTTCTCAATTGCTTCACAAAAGCTCTTTCATGTGATATTTTTAGCCCTATTGAACATTAAACTTTCTTCAGTTTCCAAATGTTAGACACTAGTGGTGAAGCTTCTTAATCATGAGAGATGATGGGAATAATAATAAACACAGTTTCTTGAATTTGAACTGCAAAATCATGCTTCCAAAAAGTTCTGCAGGACTAATATGTACTTCTGAGCTTTCAGCCTCACTGTAGGTTTTGCTTCCTGTTTTAGGTGATTACAAATACAGAAATCTTTAACTGATACCAGTTTTTGCCTGCTTTGTCCTGTCTTCCAGATAGAGAAGACTGGAAAATATCTGGATGTTTCTTCTTGTTTCTTCGTAGCCTGTGTCTTTAAAGAGAGAGATACAGATGTTATGCACACATCTTCTTTTAGTAGACAGTGTATAAAATTATGCCTGAAGGTTATGTATGTTTTGAGGTATAAAATCTGAGAAGCAAGATCCTGATTCTGAGTATGCATTCCGTACTGAAAACCTGATTTTCCTTTTCATGATGTCTTCAAATTGTTTGATGTTATCTTCCTTTTACTTTTAGATCACAGTGAATACTACATGGATGATGTGTGTATGGTACAGTTACTAAAGGGCCTCTGCCTCAAATACTTGGGAAGACTCATGCAAGCTGAACTGTGTTTCAATAAAGTAATTCAAAGGTAAAAATAACATAAACAGACTTTTGACCTTCATATTTTTTAGCTTTGGGTAAAATTTCCGATGCTTCTATAGAAGCCATCATGTTAAAATTTTTAGAAAATGAAACTTCAATATCCTGTTAAGGAGCTGGAGTTAGGCTACCTCTGAAAGTAGCTGGAGAACCACAAAACTTTGCTAATATTTTTTCTATAGATGGATTAGTCTATTTAACTTTCTGTAGCTTTCTCTCTCTCTTGGAGATTAGACTAGCTGATCTCCAGAGGTGCCTTTCAGGCATAGTGGTTCTGAGAATTTCTTGTATTGAGGAAAGTTGAATTGTCTTACTTCTCTGCTGATCTGTTGAGGCAAGGTAAGGTAAGGGGATCTCAGTTCTGTGTGTGGGAAAGAAATATTTGTATTATATTGCCTAGCCTAATGAACACTCTTTTTATCTCAAGTTATGTTTTTGGATGGTTGGGTTTTTTTGAACTGTAAATCACACAGTAGGGTCCCAGTCTTAGAACTATGTTAAAGGTAGCTTGTGTAACATACCACAGTACAGATGGGAAGTAGGAAAGAATGAGGTTTTGCTCATGTTATCAGGATTTTATGTCTACTTTTTACAGGTACAATTAATGTGCACAAAGTTAACCAGTAAAAAAGGTTCCAGAGTATTTTCTCTGGCCATGTGCTTTCACAGGCAGTGATTGCATTTAAAAGTTAACTGGTCACTTGAGGAAAATCTGTAATTAGCCACTTCTGTATTTTTTGTGATGTTGTAGTGAGAAGCAAATAAAATATGATAGCTACTTGGTGCCGTTCACCCTGTATGAGTTGGGTCTTCTGTACAAGCAACAGGAGGAGAGAGAAAAAGCAATAAGATACATAGAAACTGCAAAGTAAGTGGTTATGTTTTGGTTTTTTGTTTTTTTTTTTTATTTGCTTGTACATATAGAATAACTGTGTAACTTCATTAATGAAGGCGTGTGTTTTCTCTTCCTACCAGCCTCTTTGCAAAATACAATTAATTATAAATCTGTGCTCTTGACTGAAAAAAGTTGTCTTTCAGACACAGTGGTGTAGACAATATCAATCAAGACACAGTTAGAAGGGAAGATGTCTCCTTTTCATTTAGGCTTCAGAGATGCTGAGGTTCTGCTACCTGCATGTGGTGGAGCTGGAAGGTCCAGAGAAAGGATGTATACTACCTTTGTCCCAGAGAGCAGCTGTGGGGCTTACTTCTGCTGCACTGAAGGTGTTACTGGGAGTAGGTTAAAAGCCAGTACACTTCTGATTACCTCCCTTTCTCCTTTTGCATCCTGTCACAGAAGAGAAATAGAGAGCTAAATATTGAGCTTGATCTGTAGATTGAAGTATGGGGTAGAATTTGCCCCTTCTGTATGCAGAGAGATATCCCAGTCATGCAAGAGTGTTGTGACTGTGCATTAGAAACAATCTCCTAAAACCTTTTTTAGAAACATAATAGGTTTTTTGCCTTTCTGTTTGTTTTTTTGGACTGTATGGTGTGATTTCCCTGTGTTTTATTACACTGGCTGAGTTGTGTTTTGACACTGAACATAAACTTTCAGCTAACAGTCTTTCTTTTCCCTAGTCTTCTAGGTTTTTTTTCATAGCAAACGAGTAATTGGGAGGGCTGTTGAAGGATCCAAAATAAGTGAAAGAGATGGATTCAGTTTATCAGGGCATTTGTTAGTATTGGCATCAGTTGCTGCTCAGTTTGTGGATGTAGCTTTAAATGTTTGTACCAATCTATTTCCTGTTGAAGGAATCAAGGCTGTCAACTTTGTTACATCACTGCATACATAAAGTAGGAACAGTGCAGACCAAAAAATGTTTTTCTTAAACTAACGTTATGTTTTTCAGAAATAACTACAAAGAATACTCTATGGAGTCCAGGTTGCACTTCAGAATTCATGCAGCACTTGACAGCATGAATGTGTCATCTGCTTCAACACCTTGAATGAGGAGGGATGCTTTTCATGCAGACAATAGCCTACACAATCTTTTTGCAGTCTTTTTTTTAATCATTGAAAGGAAGCAACCTGATGGTTGTTTTCTGTCATGTCTGATTTGATGTATGTCATTCCTTTAGACTGTCCTTTTTTTTCAGTATAGTGCATATACTGTATCTACTTGCTACTTTAAAAAAAACCTTACGTTTTGTCTGATAAAAATAATTGAATTTTTGACTTGAATGGGGAATATTTAAAAAAAATGGTGGTGCAATAAAGTTTAATGCAAACGTTTTATTTTTTTATAAGAAAACAGATGCTGGTTATGCAGTGGAACTGGTGATAACTTCTGCATTTTTTAAAGGTTTGATTTTCTGCAGTATACTTGAGACCTTTTTGCCTCTGGAACAAAAATGCAATGTCTGCAGATGTCTCACCCACATTTGGCATACCAGGTTCTGAAATTTATGTTCCAGAGCAAAAAATTAATCATCTTTGACTTTATGTCATTCTGGGAACAGAATTAACCTGTCTCAGTGGCATTTTTACACTGTCAGATAAAGTTAAGCAGGGCTAAAGGCATAATGTCTTTGCAGGTCACTCAGAATAAGTTATGTGGTATTTTTCAGTCATAGAAAAGCAGGGCTGCTGCTCTTGCAGAATCAAGAGTTTTATGTCATTCCTGACATATTTGTTAAACCTGTTAAAAAAAAACAAAACAAAACCCAAAAACACCAACATGCCCCCCCCCCAAAAAAACACCCCAAAACAGAAAACCAAACCAAACAAAAAAAATACAACAAAACCAAACAACAAAAATCCCAACTCCAAAACAAATACACCCCCCCAAACAAACAAACAAAAAAACACCCAGCCACTCAAAAAAACCCATAACCCAAATCTTGCACTGAGAGACACTTTGTAACTTACACAGGATGTCTTTTCCAATGGAAAAAGGCTGGGAAATTTTTCCTGGTGCCTATCCAAGTAATTCTTCATGCAACTGAAATAGGTTGCTTCCCATCTTCCCTCTCATGGATCTGAAGAAAGGATCGTTCTTTTTCTGTTTTGAAGCAGGCTTTTAGTATTTTAAGACACACACACACACACACACACACACACCCCTTGTTGGTTTTCTCTGTTCTTAGATTCCAACCAAAATAAATAAAAACTGTCATTATTTATTTATTTTCCCAGTAATGGGAATAACTCATACTAATGCGCATCTGTTTTTCTTTTCACCTTACTATGTGAACACACCAGTACCAAATTGAGTTTACCAATTCATTTTATATGCAGATTCTGCTAGCTGTCTATTCTTATGAATATACTTGAATTCTAAGTATACTGCCAATAACTTTTCTTTCACTAATTATTGCAAAACTTGTCCTGTTCCATATTTTATTAATGCCACTATATTTACTTCTGCATGGTAAGCTCATAGTAACTATGCACCTATATGTGATTCTCTGCCGTAACTCCCAACCCAAGAAAAACCAGAACAGAATTAGGTGAAAAATTTGTCTTCAGTAGCTGAAAGTTTCTAATTAAACAGTCCATGTAATGTAAATGCTGTAGTTACTCTTCTCAGGTGACTAAGAACACATCTTTCTTCTATGTCTTTATAAATGAGTCATTTAATTGTTTATAAATGAGTAAAAGAGAACTTCGTTTTCTTCAGTTCAGCCTTCCAGAGTCAGTATTAATGCCCTGTGTATGTTACAGTATGTCTCTTTTGGGATCAGCATTCTTGCACTTGTGCAAAGAACAGGCATATCAACACAGATTTTCAATACTCTTCTAGTGTATTGATTCACCGAGGTTCCCAGCATTAAGTACTCTTTACAGCTTGTTCCCTTTTCTGTGGTGCTGTTCCAGACTTGTTTACCAGAAAGCCTGATTGATCAAGATTCTTAGCTTTATTCTGGATTTTTATTCCAATTTAGTAGTGTTGGAAATATTAATATTTTAGTGATTCCTAACTCTTCAGGTAGGTCTCAGTAGAGCTCTAGAGATGCTTTGTCTTCCAAATGCTGCAGAAGTGTGTGTCTCCCCAGCACATTGCATCATTGATGCAGTATTGTTTACTAAGGAATGTCTAAGTTAAGTGATTTGTGACTAAGAGTTTGGATGAAAAGTTCTTGGCTTATTTTTTGTTTTCTTTTTTTCACCTGCTGTGTACTGTACTGGGCCTTAAATACAACTCTGTTTTAGTCTTATTGCTCTCTATATTTTCACCTGGCTTGTGTCTAATGAGAATTTTGAATAATGTGTTAAAACTTCCAAACAGAGCAAAGCTGAGCATTTATCTATGATTCTAGAAACTCTTGATAATAGTAGGAATTATAATATATACTAAAGCAAAGCTGAATTTTGTTTAAGCGAGCAAGGCTAAACTTACGTACTTACATTATGACAAAAGGTCATTATGATCTTTCTGATAATAGATGTGTATTTTTTATAAGATAAGGAATCATAAAGTAGCCTGGTTATTAAGACAAAGCTTCTCTTTGATTAAAAATTGTCTACTTAGAAAATATTACAAAAAAAAACTTCTTGTCTGTGCATATCATTCAAATGTTTAGTCTGTTGGTGAAAAATTGTTGTGTTACGGTTTTTAAGTCCTAGCCCACCAATTTTTAACAGAATTTGAAAGAAAATACATGTTAAAAGAGAGCTGATTAAAGATTGGTTTATATCTGTCATAATACACGTAGGTAACAGCTGTATTTAGCACCTTATGGCCAGAAAAATGTACGATAATCAGATACTGTTATGTTTTTAAAACACCTTGCCAACTAATGTATAAAACAAGTAATTGTAGCAATCCAACTTAAGCTTTGCAGTTATTTTATTACTAATCTTAATGTTTAATGTCCTTTTGTTTCTGTATGTTCTTATGCTGTATAGTTCAACAAAGAATGTTTATATTTGCACTGGTGATACAGTTTATTTGCTTCTGAACTACTGAGGTTTGCACATTGTTTCTATGTGGTACCTGAGTCAGAAAAATGGAGGCTGAGATGAAAAAGTATATTCTGGTTTAAAGAGCATGTAGAAATGTTCATTCTGATGCATTGGAATAGATTCTTACTTCAGAGGAATAAATCACATTTTATGCTTGTGCTGCCAAGTGCTGAATTTGGCACTGTATTCTAGTTGTGCATAAAGAACCTTCAGCTGGGATTTAACAAAACAATATCAACAGGAAAAGACCTGATCTCAAGTTTAAACATGCTGTCTTGGGCATATAGTTCCTTTGATGCAACCTGTCTAGCCTGAGAGCCTGTACAAATCTATCAAGGTTTAGGAGGAAATAAAGGGTCTTTGAAATGTAGATAGCGAATAAAAAATAAACTACTTTAGCCTCAATCTGTCACCAGCGATCGAGTAATATCTTTAAATAGTATAAAACACGGGAGTGGTTAATAATTAGCTTATTCTGTTATCAGTTATTTAATTAAATTCAGTAAGAAGTAGACATAATACTCTCCTAGGATTCTTTTAAAATCCCATTGTAAAACCCAGGGAGAAAATGATCTTTTTACATGTGTGCAGGGCTTGGTTTCAGTAGCATTTAGAAAAGTGAATGTTTGAAGTTATTTTTTAATGTGACATGGTTAAGTATTTCCCTGGTTGCATCTAATTTTATCTGATGTTTCACAGCAAATAGGTCATTTAAGTGTTTGCTGGGAGTTACCACTAATACCCATTACCTATTACCAATAATTGCCATGGTTTGAATGATAAGAATGGTGATTTTGGTTACCATAAGAACAGAGATTCTGTTCTTAACTTGGCTCACAGCCAGGCAAAAGAATCGAAATATTCCTGAATACTTGTTGCTGCCTGTAAGATCCTAATTTACTTTCAGCTATTAGACATACCATAGTCCAGAATGAAACCTCTGTAGCTAGATCAGAGTGACTGCAGAGTATTAAATAAAGGAAGTACATTGAATAGAAGGAGGAAAAGAAAACACACTGAGGAAAGATAGAAGCACAAAACCAGGAGCTACATCTGCATTCATGCCAGCATGTGGCAGAAGTTATGTTATAATCTGCCACTGGAACACTGCATGCTGTTGAATAATAACAGTTCTGTTTATTGAGCAAGTCATCCTTTCTTAAGGAAATCTGAAGAAAAGCCAAATAAGCTAACTTTGCATTCTGGTTACGTGCTGTTCTTATGTAAGTGAAAAGGCTCTGGGATTTCTGGAGTTATGCAATTTAATTAAAATAAAATTATACTTTTTGTCTGAACAGTTCGAGGGGATAGATTTCAGTGCCACTTGGTAAATTAATTGGTGGGCCTTATTTATAAATTTTCTATCTTTTTCAGTTGACTTATGTTAAAACCGCTGTGGTTTTTATTTGTTATGCTACTGAAATAGTTGCAGTAGAGATACCAGTTGTTTTTGGGTCCACTGAAAAACTGAATTTAAATTTTACTGACTGAACGTTAGCAGGACAGAAATGGAAAAGTGACTCCTGATTTCTGATACAGCAAGTTTTCTTAGCTTCAGGAATCTTGCCTGTGGACTTTGGAAACTGTTGCATACCCAGTGCTTCTGGTGTACGAAACCCAGTTGGAATAGTGAGAGGTTTGTTGGCAGCTGTTTTCTTCCTGGACACTTCTGAAGCTAAAAAGGGAAAACTGACTCCCTTTTGACGGGGGAAAAACAAAAAGGGGGGGGGGGGGGGGGAGGGAGAGCTAACACTTTGCTTTTGTTTTTCTTCTTTGAATTTTTCATTACTTGCCTAGGACAGCCAGGTTGGAATCCTATTCTTACCTGTCTGCCTGGCTGTCTAGAATAGATAGCAGAGCCTTCAAAGAAAACTTTCATCTGTCGTTAGGATATGTGCTTCCCTGGAATTACGCAAAACAGAGGTAACTGCTTGTTTTGGGTAGCTTGTTCGGATAGCCATTAGGAAAGGATCAAGGGAGAAAATGCAGGAGAAATTTGGGTGTGAAGGATAACAATGAGGTAGAAGTAAGGATATATTGGATAGGGATTTCCACAGCACTTGAACCACATTATACCACACAGAATAATGTGACAGAATAGTGCAAATGTCATTGTGATAGAAAAGCGTCAAGTAAGAAAAATTATAATGCAGAGTAATTGCTTGCTGGCTGAGAGGAGGCAATATGATCTGGAGGTAATGCACAGCAAAACAGTTACTTCTGCTAAAGAAAAAAGCTGATGAGGATAGATGGACTTCTTTCCAGGCCAAATTGCTGATTTTATGTAGTTGGAGTTCTCTGACGACAACTGCAGAGAAAGGGTGTTTTGAGTTCCTGTATGAAGACTGTTATCAGTGCAGCCAGAACAGGATTCTGTGTCTGTGTGAAAACCTTGCAGAGCTATGGCTGATAACCATTTCTTTGGATGACATATGTCTGAAAATAAACTCACCAAGTTGTGAAAAAAAAAAATAAAAGGAAGTTTTGTAATGCCAGATCTTAAAAGTTTAATGTTTTAGTCCTTTTTTCCCCAAGTTAAATTGAAAAGTCTGTGTTTATGAATTGCTGACAGACTTGGCAAGACTTTTTTAAAAAATTCATTGTGTTCATTGTGGTTTAGAGCTAGACAGTTACCTCCATGTAGATGTGAAGTGAGATTCATATCTCCTTCTGAACTTTGGGACTGTGTTGTAGGTTTCCTCGGGGGACCTCCAGAGAAAAAAATGAAGATGAATACTGATC